CGTGGAGCCGTGGTGCGAGAGGAGGGATGGGCGGCTCAGGCTGGAGAAGACGAGAGCCGGCACGGCGCAAGGATGGAACGCAGCTAGAGCCTAGAGATGCAGCCCAGGAAGCTCGCCAACAACGATAAGACTGACTGGCTGGCCCCCAGAGATGACCGGGGTCTGCAGTTGCACAGCACTCGGAGCCTGGAGGGGAGGTCTCGAAGGTGGTCTGGCGGAGTCGGGTGCTCCAATGACTTCTCCGTGTCTCCCAAGTGGAAGAATGATGGTGGTGCCGCTGGTAGGCTGGGTTGCAGGGGACGGGGGCTCAGCTGTGTGCCTTGGAGCAGCCAGACTTGACTACTCTGGGCAATACGAATGAGATATTGACGGGGTTTGATGAGCATGAGGTCGTGACTTCAAGACCACTTATCCCAGCCATGGCACACGGAACAAGGGAGCGGCTAGAACAAGCTCGCCGAAGGATTGCAGAGGGCCAGGAAGCGGCTCCCGCTGAGGGTATTCGCGCGCGAAGAAGCTCCCTCACGTGCGCTCGAAGCAGCAGCATGTCCGATGAAGCCATCCGCGTAGCGAAGCAACCGCCGGCAGAGCGTGATTGATGATTGCTCTTTGGTGTGTTCAGCTCAAGGCACCAGCATTTGGCCATCCTTGCCCGCGTCCACAATTCGCATCAGCAACAACCCCTCGTCGGGACGACACAGGTAATTTGGACATCGGTTACAGTCGAAAGAGCGAGGACGGTCTTTGTTTCCGCTGGGGCAGACTCGATTGCAAGAAATGACTTCATCCTGGACGCCGTACAACGAATAATGAGCGGGAGGTCTGCCATTTGGGCCGCAGTAGAATCGAGATGGGCGCAGCTTGTCTGCTGTCACTCGGGAGAGTGCGAGAATGATGCATGAGTGGAAGAACACAGTAAACAGCCCTGTCAGGCAGAGTCGAAGGAGGGGAATCGCTGTGTGGCAGTGTCCCCAAAGGCCTCCGGGCGCACCGTGCAAGCAGTTCAGTTGAAGGGACATGAACTGGGGGGGAGGAATGACGTGCTGTGCCGTGCTGTTCGTTCTCGATTGTGCTGGGCCAGACCGAGAGATACGTATCCGTCTTACCCTGACCCATGTCTGTCTGCATCTTCATCTGGGATGATTAAGCTCATGTTGGAGTTTTGAAGCAAACAACGAGAATAGATTGTCGCTGTTGGATATTACAAAGAGTTGCATTGTTTCAGCAGAAAGACTTTGTTCTTGTCAGTCTTCTTGTTCTTCTCAATAGCGTTGTTGACACGTCAGTCTACACCAAGTCGGCCTCAGACAAGGGTATTTTCCACTTCTCGTGTAGCCAACACAGACGTTGTACAACCCAGCCCCTTCGTGATCTTGTGGATTTCAATGCCCAATATCAACTTGGTTGACAAAGAAAATGAGATGCTGGCCTCAACTACTTGATGGGGCGGCAAACTATCCCGAGGATGTCAACAGGGAAGAGATTTTCACCCAGAAAAAGCAGAAGAGATCACCCATGCCCTGCCTCTTGTGACATGCATGCCTTTCTGCCCCTCAATCCTTCCGCTGCACCGCCAGCCACAGCCACTGGTTCTGCATTTTCGTTTCATCAACTTAGAAGACATCTTGAGTTTGACAAAGAGAGCGCTCATATTCCATGGTTGGCGGCCTCGGGTAGCCATTTCATATCTTGGTCGTGAAAAGATTTCCATCATCTCAGCCACACCCTCCCTTCCCTTGCCTTGATCCATCCCCGTCATGAACCTCTGCATCACTGGTAGCCGCTGGATGCCTCCCCGCTGCTTGTGCCTCCGGTTCGGTTCCCCTCCCTGCACCCATCCGAGCCAACACGCATGTTGGCTAATAATTCCCAGTTCCAACGTGTTGGCCAGGGCCAGGGCATGGGGATGACCCGCCTTTAGGGGCAGGACATCGTCAGATTCAGTGGCAACACCTGCTCCCCACTGAGGATGCGAAGCATCCAAAGCCATGCCAAGAACGGTCTCAAGGCCAAGCTTTCACCCGTTGAAACCCTTGACAACCCTTGAACGATCGTCTAGCGCAGAATCTCCTTCGACTCTTCTTTGACTTCACAAGCGATCTAACAGGATCCTCTCGTCGACATTCCCGTCCCGCTCCGGCGCTAGGTCGCGCCCTGATGCTCCCGCCCGTTTAACCCCGGCCGTCCATCTCTCTTTCCATTCCATCTCACCTTCGAATATTCTGCACCGCCACACTTTAATGGGGCAGAAGCCAATACTCTCTCGTGCGCAGTTTCGCGGGCGGCGTTTGTTTCATGTGTTGCTCGCAGTCGTCAATTTCTAGGTGAGGTGGCGAATATCGCATCACATCCAAGCTCCAAACGCGCGAGTGCGCGCTCCTGCCTTCAGGGATTCACTCCCCTTGACTTGGCCACGTCTTTTTACAGTTGATGTTGATTCCGCTCAACAGCGCATTTCCATATCGTCTTTCTCCCACATTTCTTAGTCGTCTGCATTCTTTAGAGTCCAGAAGAGAAGATCTGATGTCCCGGGGCCCCAATTTTGTTCCTAACTCCAACGCGCTAGCTGGTCAAGTGACAGCAACTTGACTATGATACTGGACGCCGCCACACAGCTTCTGTCTCCGTACATCGCACACGCGATATTTCAACTTCATGTTCCTAAGCGCCGCCATTGAATCCTAACCCCACACATTGCGATGATTCAACATAGGTAGGGAATTCGCAACGGAGTTGTTAGATACTGGTAATTGTATTTGTTTTTTTCTATTTGTCGAACTGCCTACCCTTCTCTCCTTCATCATGTCCAGGTGAGTATAAGACCCACGATTAGTCGGCCTTGAATCTCAGACCTCACCAACACACCCATCACCACGATAATTACCCCTGCTCTCAGCGACCCAAACTAGACCGCACCAACATCAATCCACATACCCTACCACTACTCCACCTCTTATGATAATGTCAGGATCCAAGCACGGCGCTTCTTCTTCTAGGTACTTATGCAACCACGTCACACCCTCAAACGGGCTGTCCCTTTCTGACATCGACTAGACATCAGCAGTCCTCGTACAGCATGTCTTCCAACACTGGAGGGCGCACATCGAGCAGCTCATCCAGTCAGACACGCTACACCTCCTACGCTTCATCGGCCAACCCCTCGGACAGATTCTACGCCACCGGGCAGCCTACAGGCAGATCATCCCAGTCAATGGCCGGCCAGATGGCTGCGTGGGACCGACAATGGAGCAGTGCCAGCAGTGGTGGTCGTCGTTGATGAACAACATATGCACCTGAGTTTGCAGCCTCAGACGTGCAACCCACCTTGTATTATATTTCCTTGACGCGTACATAGTCGGCTGATACCCCAATGGAATACTTTTCTGAGAATCATTTCTTATGAGGCTCTTGCGTGCATGATAAATCAACCCAGTTGTTGGTGTAGTCCTCATTGTCGCCAACTGAGTAAGTCTTCAAAGTCAGAGTTCTAAGTGGATGAAGGAATTAGAAACTCGAGCCACGAGGAGTTGGACGCAAGTTAAGATGGCAACTGAGCAGACTGGTTCCACGGTACAAGAGATGACATCAAGTCGATCGCGGGGCGGGCCATTCTTGACAGAGACTCCACTGCCGGCCTTGCATATTGATGGCAATGCGAGATTGCCGAGTAGATCGCAAGCCGGTAGTCATCCCATCGGCTTAAAAGTCTGACGTAGGAAGTGGACGATTCTGGTCGGCTGCATGATATAGCTATATGCGCAAGCAACTCCATAATCGTCAGCATGAGAGGGCGAGAAGGTTCAAAGCTAGCGTTTCGCTCGAATTCCGACCTGTCATCCGGAGATCATACGTATATGAGACGACGATGCGCGCACCTGGCTTTTTCTGCCCGTCGGCCGATCACTCGAGCAGATCTTGGAATAGCTTCAGACGCAGATGACACCAAGTGGCCTCCCAACACAGGCCAAGATCGACTGAGCAGGCCACACCATGGACCGGCCGTGTCGGTGGCACGTCGAGTTCATTATGCCCATTGACGACAAAGAAACAATCTCGAGAGCCCCGCACCTTATTCCGGTTGACATCCGACCAGGGAGGGTCGTACATGTAGGGCTGCTTCTTGGACGAGAACAAACCAATGGCGCGCGAGTGAGGACAAACGGAAGTGAAACCAGGCCCTTCGTTCTGGGTCTTAATCGCCTGGTTCCCAACCGGGACCTCCCGTAGTCGGAAGACTAGTCCCGGCAGTTGCAATCCTCATGTCTGTGTGAGCCTCGATAGCTTGGCGCGGCTGAAACTGTCATCCGCAACAGAATTGGGACGGAGGATGTAATGAGCGGAGGAGGTGGAAGGGGGAATTCAGGGAACTATACTAGCAGCAATATCACCAGTCATTACTCCCGAGGTGCCGAAGTGACAGGTCTCATGTATTTTCCGAGCGGAATCATGCGTTGTTCCTGTCAGGCCGCACACTTGTTCTTATGCATCTTTCAGCAAGACCCTAGATCTTGTTAGCGGCGGTGGTGTTTGGGGCGAGTTAGTCTTGATCCGGAGGTGTGATTGATTGATTGAACAAGAGAGAAAAGGAGAGAGAGCTCGCGCCAGACCGTGGCCGGAGGGAGGCAGGGGACATTCCTTTTGATTTCGATTAGACCCCGCCGGCGCACGAACCTCAACTCGACCGAGACACTTGCTGCTCCTTGCAGTGTTTTGCTGTTCATTATGCTCGCTGCTCATTGCTCGCTTCTCACATTGACACCACACGTCCACACGTTTTCTCCACCTCGTTGCCTTTGTTCACCTGAACTTTCTCTCTGGCTGGCTGGCTCTTTTCTTATCTGATTTTGAGAGTGGAAGTGGGCTTTATCGCGTTCGTTGATTTGCAGAATGTGATATCCGCAACTTAATTCTTGTTGTTTCACCGCGAATTGTCACTACCGCCAACAGGGATCACCACCCGATCAATTAAAAGGGGACGCTTCACCACCAAATGCGACGCCATGACCGAGATGAAAATGCGCAGAAAGCGCGTCGCAGAGGATGACGAAGAAGACGAATTTCACCACAGCCCCCCTAACAAGAGGGGCCGCGCTGGATCGGCCGCCTTCAAATGGCTCTGGGCACCTTCACCACATCCAGATGAACCGCGACCGCAGGGTCTCTGGCCAGACACCGAGAGGCTATTTCGAGCCCAAAGCGACCACCGCGACTTCAACCTCCCGCGCTCCTTCTCGCTCCCGCCGGAGACTTCCTCGAGGCGCACCAGCAGGCGCCGGGGTGCCATCTCGGTGACGTCGTCGCCGCCGCCAAGCGAACTGGATCGCCATCTCGCCATGCAACTGCAACAGCAAATCGCCATCATACGGCTCAAGGCCGCATCCCGTGGTGCGGACGACGACGAGGTCGAGCGAATGCGACGTGAACTCGAGGACGTGCAGATCGACGCAGCCCTCCCCTCCATCCTGGGCATCTCCTTAGACTTTGACCGCAAACTCGACCTCGGTCCAGTCGTTCGCCGCAAGGTTCAGAACAAAGAGGTAAAGTCACGAACACCCACCCCCCAAACCATCCTAACGGTGACGACGAGTCAAGACTCACTCGCCCTCGCCCTCTTCTCACGTTTTCTTTCTTCTTCCTTGGCCATGTGTCTGTCTCAGCAGTTGAGAGTGGGAAGCCGGGGGACCACCACCACCAACATGACTGGACCCATGAACCTCCCAAAACCCCTCCTCCCTGGCCGTCGATCAAACATGAGAGATCCCATCTAACACCCTGCACACAGAATCCAGTTCGTCGCCCGCCGGGTGTCTGTGGGATTCCAAGAAAGCCAAATCGGGCACCGGCGTCGTCGGCAGCTGTCGTGCAGCAGCACCAGCACCAGCAGACGACAAGAGGAACCTGCGACAGCACCAGCACCAGCAGGTCGGTACTGGGTGTGGTGCCGTCGTTCGTGGTGTAAGCGGTGGTTGCAGCGCCGGGGGAGAGGCTCCAGCAGCGGCGGGACTGTGGAGGAGGCCTCGGACTTGAGACCAAACTCTGCTTGCTGCATGCTCTGCCAAGCCTTTTTCTTCTGTTTTTTGACTTCCAAGACACGACACGCTTCCTAACAGACGGGGAGCAAGCACATGTAATTATTATTATTCGAGCACACAAGACAGCGATGGATGGGGTTGGTTAATGCTGCAACGGGTTGTGATGTGATGGCATGTTGGAGGGCGGGTTCGTTGGATGGCATGAATGTCAAAGGGTCATAATACATTTTGTATTATATTGAGCTGGTGGTGTTGATAACGGGTGTCATAAAGTCCCCTTGTAGAACAGTAATTAATAACATGAAGAGTAATAGTAGAACAAAAGAGTGAACGTTATTTTTGAGCGCATTAATCATAGGTAGTCGTCCAAAGGCGTGTTTTCCTCCTCCGCCCCCTCCTCTCGGCCTCCCTCCCTGTTCACTTGGGAGGCGGCGAATCTGACCTCCTAAATGGCCAGTCCGAACCCTTCTCCCCTGTCGGGCTGTCGACCAGGTCCCCAAACGGACTCACGGTCTGCGTCCGTCTCAACCAGCCCTTGCTGCCCTCCACAAGCTCGCCTTCCTCGTCCACCTTGCTCAGCTTCTCGTTGTTGGTCGAAGCGAACGGGTTGGTGTTGGTGGCTGAAGCAAATGGCGGAGGAGGTCCTTGTGATCCCCCGGTCCCCGGTGGCTGCTCCTGTTGTTGCTCTCTATTTCGAGCTGGAGCCGGAGTGGGAGGCAGAGCCGTATTCGGCGGTCCGTCTCTCGACTTTGGCGGGAAGAGAGAGTACGGCGGTTGTTTCCTCGGCGACGGCGGCACCACTGGCTTTCGACTCACCGACGGCTCTCGCTGTATCGTCTGCATCTGAGGTGCCGACTGACTGACGAACGTCGTCGTTCTCGAAAAGTTTGGTGCCCCGTCGCCAAAGTCACTCACCGCGTACCCCATCCCGCCCGACCCCGTCGTCCGTGCCGTGTCTGGCCTCGTCGGTGATATAGAACGTTTTAAGTCTGGCGGGTAGCCGTTGTTGGCCGCTAATGCGTTTGTCGTCATGAGCGTATTCTGTTTCGGGTAGCTGATTTCCCGTCGTAGCTCCCTCTCCTTTGCCTCCTTGCGTTTGCCCCGGCGATAGCGTGTCCAGATGTAGAAGCCCAAGATGGTGAGAAGTGAAGAGCCGATGATCGCGCCCACAACTGCGAGTGCTGCTTGCGTGACTGAGACGGCTGCTCCCTGTGCCTGTGAGACTCTCAAGTTGGCGTCGTCCTGTTCATGTGTTAGTCGTGTAAGTGATGCAAAGTGTGAGTGAGTTGCAAAGACGTACCCTGGCAGCTTGGATCTGCTGTTGCGCTTGCTGCTGAGCACTCTGGATAGCAGCACTCGCAGAAGCTGTAGCAGATGCAATGGCCTGGGCAGCACTGATACTCGCGCTCGCCTGGATGCTCGCAATCTGCGACGCCAGCTGCTGGTTCGCACTGCTCGTCACAGACGCCAGATTCGCCGCAATGTCCCTGCTCGCGCTCTCCCTCGCCTGCTGCTGCGCGTTGGCAATGCCCTCCCTCGCGCTCGCCTGTGCCTGTACAACGGCGTTGTTCGCCGAGATGGACGCCCTCGTGGCGGCGTCGTTGGCCTGTCTTGCCTGTTCCTCTGCCTGTCGTTGTCTGTCTTGGGCCTGTCGTACCTGGTCGTTGGCTTGTTGAACAGCCTGTGCCGCCGACTGTGATGCCGAGGCGATGGCCTGCTGGGCGGACCGGGACGCCTGGTTGATCTGGTCGATAGGGTTGAAGCTATCTTGTCTCCCAAAGAGGGCGGCCGGCGTGGGTACCGCCAGCACGACGCGGTCTTCGAGGGGTATGGGCTTGTTGATGTCCACCGACGCCGTTGGGGGCTCCATATCCCGCCTCCCCAAGAGGTCCATCATGATATGTCTTCCTGCTCCCCCTCGCCTCCGGTGAGGCTGTGCCGGTGACTGATGATCCCCCGCGTCGACCCATCGTGCCCACCGTCCTTTGGCCCCATCTGCCTTTGCTACCGCCGCTAACACGAAGCAGACCCAAGCAGATAGTAGTAGTATTCGTGGGAGGCAAGCCTTCACCATGATTTCATGTCGGATTATGTATGCCTCCTCTTTGCTGTAACCATATTATCCCTACTCTTCCACGGGTAGTAAAACACACAACACACAAAAGATGTATAATTCCTGGATTCACGTCAACACAAGAAACGAACAAAAGGAAAGATGAAAACACGAACAAAAGACCAATCCAAGAAAAGAGCCAAAGGTTCCGCCAAACGTCCCTAGTCGGCGGCCCTCGCCCATGTTATGGACCGCTTCGTCCTAACTGTCCCCCAGTCCCACGACTCTTGTCGCCGCCCTACGGCACCATTCCTCTTTGGTTTGACCCCATCATCCCTCCCCTTCCGTGCGGTTGACTCCGCTTCGATATCACGCCCGTCGCTATCCAGTCGGCTTCATTGGCAGAGGCACGGGGGCGGAGACGGACGGGGTTGGGCCAGACGCTGGTAACTGCCCGTTGCCCGGTTGGTTGCCTTTCGGACGCTCTCAAAGGAGTGGAGTTGAAGTGGAATGGTATCCTTTCCCATAGATCAGATTTGGGCCCGCCGCGAACCGTCCCATCTTCTCATTCGGTCAGACGCCCAGGCTCGAGTTGGTGGTTAATGCACAGATGGTTTCACAAGGGGCTTTGGAAACAGAAAGCTGACAGAAACGACAGAAAAGTTTATGCCTGCCGAACGGGAGTGGTTTGCTATACCCTCGCGGCATCAATATTCGGTTGCGTTCCGAGCTTGGTATTGTCTCAAAAGCCAAAGTTGGTCTGGATCCCTGGTCAGGTTGAGGCTCTTGAAGGAGGGGTGTTGCAATGGCGGGATTGCCCCTCTAACCAGCGTCGATCCTCTCGTGCTCCTGGTGTCGCATATCCCTGTCCGGCGTCACTTGACTCGGGCCCGGCATGCGGGCAAGACCACGAAGGTCGGGGTAGCCGGAGGGACTCCAGGGGAACTGACAAGATTTCTGCAGAGTCTGTTCCTGAATCGCTCCTAACTCAAAAGAAGGGAGGTGTTCCTTCAGGGTCTGCTTCTTTTGCTTTGCCCCTCCCTCCTAGTTGGGAAATGACGACGAGAGACAAATACTGAGCAGGGACCGACCTCAGTCGGCGACCCAAGAACAAGATCAAGATTTTCGGAAGCCGGCGAACTAACCGAAAAAGAACGAGCCATCGCAGCACGCGGTAACCGCCCCATGGCGCGTGCGGGCGGCTGGCATACGATGAGGAGGGGTTCTTGAGAAAGCGGGCTGAAGAGATTTGGAAACGTTCTTCACATTGACCATCTATATACCAGTGGTGTCCCGGCCTTTCTTCCTGTTCGTCCACGATCTCCGTCGATCTGTGAGAAGAAGAATCAGCCATCCAACCAACACCCAAAAACGTGGCGTGACTGACTGGCTGCGTGGCACGCCCCATGCAAAACTAACCATATCTCCCAACGCCTGTCATGCATCCATCCTGCACGCAGAGGATATCCCGTACCTAGCACCTGGCCAAATTTTTGTATGTGTGTGCCTGAAATCCGATGTGTTGTGTTTGATGAGACTGGACGAAAAGAAATCAGGTCATGCCCAACACTTAGTCTCCGATGTTTCTCGGAGTATTTAGTGCAGCCCATGACTCTCAGCTCCGTCACGTTGCCCGTCGCGGAAGTTTCCAGGCGAGGAAAACGCACGAAGAAAACTCTTTTAAGAGTAGGCAAAGAGACTTTAGACGGGCAGCTTGAACTTCTTGCCCTTCATCACCTTGGTGTAGTAAATCCAGAAGAAGTCAGAGTACAGGATGGTCTGGATAATGCCGGCGACGATGGCGATCCAGTCGACCTTGTGGTTCACCTCAGTGAAGTAACGGTAGATCCAGTTGGGGATGTACAGGGCACGGTAGATACCGAGGGCAGCGAGGTAGTGGGTAGTGATGGTCTCGGCCTCGCCAGTACGCTGGAGCATGAAGAGCTGGGGCAGGATGGCGACGGCCTCGAGCCAGATGGAGAAGGCCCAGAGGATCTCCCAGAAGGTGTAGTAGTAAGGGAAGACGATGGCCAGGGCGGCGGCGCCTCCAAGCAGGTACTGGACGCGGAACGTGTCTTGGTTGGGGTCGTTGGTGGGCTTGTAGGCGGTCGTCATCAGGTAGACGATGTAGCCTTGGGAGGTAATGAAGAGAATCTTGAAGACCAGGTTCCACAGGCTGCTGGTTGAGAATAGGTCTGTTGACGGAAGATGTCAGCTAAGTGAGGTCGGGTGGCAATAGGACGACGAGGGTCGACATACCAAGGTATCTGGTGATGTAAACCAAAAGGTAGAGAGCTTGTGATTTGAACGAAATACCGGAACAGCTCTGCCGAAGGATTAGAAAAGGCTCGGGTGACGGCATTGTTGGCATCGCAAACACTCACGTTCAGCTGAACCATCTTGTGGAGGAGGATGCCAATACTGGCAAGGTGGGACAAGTCCCCTGGAAGCCGTGTTAGTCGACAGAGCCATCGCAAGACGGGGCAGACATGCTTCGGCACGCTGCGCAGGGTGAAGGCTACACGTACCGAGAATACGGAAGAGGTTGAGCATCGTCGCGGCTTGGCGGGGGGCGGCGGGATCGGTCGCAGTGGACGGGAGACGGGAGCTTCAGTCGAATCGGATCGGAGCTTAAAGCTGCCTCAACAGTGGGGATTGTGGTCAAGCAATTGCAGCCTCGGAGCGGCGTGGACTCGCAGTGCGCGGATGGGAGGTGTTTGCTGTCGTAGTGGTCGTGGTGGTGACCGGTGTCGTCTGTCGTCGCGATCGATGAGTTGGCGTTGGCGTTGAGATGTGTCCAGGGAGGGAGCTTCAACTGTGTGCGGCAGAGCTGGCAGCTATTTTTTTTTGGGACCGTGGTTCCAGGAGGTCGAAAGGACACGAACGCGATTGCACGCTCATTGGAAGCTGGAACCGACAGGCCAAGCCACAACCCGGTAGGGCACCTCCCGTCTCTCGACCAGTGGCAGCGAAGCACTGACAGCGACGCCGCGTCCTGTTTGGCTGGCCGCCTGCTGTTTTACCTAAGGCAGGTCCCTGGTTTCGGCTTAGCTAATGGATTGTGAGACAGCTGCAGCCGTGTTGCAGCGCTGCAGGTGCTTGGGTGCGTGGGTGCTATTAGTGTGAGGGTGCATTCCCGCCAGTTGCCGCTTCCGCGAGGATACCTAGGTAGGTCCACTTCGCTAGCTGTCTCCTGGTCATTTACCTCAGCAATCCAGGAACCAATGAGAGCCCGAGCCATGGCCTCGCGGAAGCAGTGACGCCGTCCCTGTTTCTCTCCCGTCTGCTCCGTTGCCCGTCCTTGCTGAGGTAATCTTTCGGATTGCCCGAAGCTTTCCCGGTGTCTTGGCTTCCGAAGAGAGCACTGACGGGAAAGAAGAACCCTTCGTGCCTTCGGACCCACCCCTAAGTCCAGCCCGAAGGCCCGGAGTCCACCTGCCAGCGAGTGACGTATTACAAAGCTGCCTGAATGACAAACACTGCGAATACTCTCCAGACGGCCTCACCGGTGACCGGCTGCGTTTGCGCCTGCGCCCCCAACGCCGCCTTCCTGCACATTCTACGCAGTCATCTCGTTTGTATATATCTCTAGCGCATCTCTCAATCTTCGAAAACTTGTCGCATCTACCCACAGCATCATCAGATACTTGCATATACACCGATCTAGCGCCTCTCAAACACCACAGCTCCAAGAAACCACGAACCCACCCACCATGGCCGAACCCCAACGCGACGAGTTCGACTACGACGACTCCGCCGACGAAGCCATCACAATCACCCTCACCCACCGCAACACCCCGCACACCTTCAAGTTCCCCAGCGACGGCACCATCACGCACCTCTCCGAAGATGTCGAAGACACCCTCTCCATCCCCGCCTCCAACCAAAAGTTCATCGTCCCGAAGCTCGGCCTGCTGAAGCCCCCGTTCAAGGACCCCGACATGTCCCTCGCCGACTTGCAGGGCAAGAAGATCATGCTCATGGGCGTCGAGGCGAAGGAGGTTGCCTCCCTGCAGGCCGCGTCCGAGTTCGCTGCACGCCGCAACGCCGCCCGCAGCGCCGCGCGGAGGGCGAATCGCCCGTCGCGGAGGCGGGATCAGGCGCGGTCGCAGGCGCACAGCACGTATACCTTCCTGTCCGTCAGGCCGCTGGCAGGGCTGCCGAACCCGGAGCGGTCGCTGGCGCTGCTGGAGAAGCTGAAGGAGGATCCGGGAATCCGCGCCTCGATGGTGAAGCACAAGTTCAGCGTCGGCCTGCTGACGGAGATGGAGCCGCTATCAAACACGCAGTCGAGCCACGAAGGCACGACGAGACTGCTAGGACTGAACCGGAACCAGGGCGAAGTTATTGAGCTGCGCCTGAGGACGGACGCGCATGACGGATACAGGGACTACAAGACGATTCGAAAGACGCTGTGTCATGAGTTGGCACACAATGTCCACGGCCCCCACGACAGGAACTTCTGGGACCTGTGCCACCAGATCGAGCGCGAGGTTGACGCCGCGGACTGGAAGCACGGCGGGCAGACCGTCGGGCAATCATCATCCTATTATGCGGCTGGAGAGGACGAGGAGGAAGGTTTCGAGGACCACGGGGGCTGGGAGGGAGGCGACTTTGTTGTCGGCGGAAGCGCCGCTGACAACAAGGGCTTGAGCCGGCGGGAGATTCTAGCCAGAGCCGCAGAGGAACGCCTGAAAAAGATGAATATGGAAAGGAGGGATGGCGGAAAGCCGGATTCAGGAGCATCACCTTGAGTTCTACTTTTGGTCATGGTCTGCATTTACACACACTAGCCTAGGTTGTTATGGTTGTCGGGTTTGGGCATTGCGATGGCGTTGGTAATAATTATGTATGATGTCGCTGTACTGGCTGGCTTGGGGCTTCCATAGCGAGGAAAGATAATCTCAGCACGATCCAACACGAAATCTCATAAGTGTTTGTCACATGTTCAATTCGAGGTCCTTGGCACCTCGGTATCTTTGGGTATCTAGTGTGCACATGCGACTCCTCTAGTGGCTTTGCGGATGGTTCCATTTCATATGGCAACCAGCCCGCGCGCCATATCTACCCAACGGGCGATGCTCATCGTAGCGATACTCTCCATCTTCATGATGTGACAAAAGGAACAAAAAAAAGGGAGGTAATGCCCGAGTGTCCTCCCTGTCAAAAATCCCTGACCCTGGAACACCTTAATCTCATGCCATGCCATACCATGTCCGGAACGCCACCAATGCATGTAAGCGTGCAAAACGGAAAATGCCGCCGTTAAAAAAATATACCCATATTCTTTTGTGGGAAAAAGACAAGTCGCGGCCATCGCTTGTGCTGATCCAAATCCAATACGATCCTTACTTTGACCACTCGAGATCATCCGCAAGGTCTTCCGCCGTCGCCTTCTAGGAGGACTGCTGCACCTTGAGCCACTCCTTCTGTTCAGGTTCCCATCTGTGTCTGCAGGTAATTGTTAGTCGCGGCACATAAGAAGCTTAAATAGGCGGACGGAATTCCGCGCAGATCTTGACTTACCCTTGCCATTCAGTAGTGACCAGACTCTTGGTACCGTACTCCTCGGAAAGGATGCGCTCGAAGCTGTAGGGAATGATGGCGGGAACACCCTCGAATTCAGTCTCGCGCATGGGGAAGAGATCGGTGGTGCGGTAGCGGTGGTAGTTCTTGCAGCTCCAGACGCCTGGCATGCCAGAGGGATCGCGCTCAGCCAAACCGGTGATGTCGACAAAAGCACCGTTGGCCATGTTGATCCAGCGGGCGTCGATGATGTTCTGGCCGTCGCCACGGTCCTTGTCGGTGCCGTGGGGGTTGACGTCAAGCAGGTAGCGGTCCTTCTGGGGGTTGCCCTCGGCGTCGGTCCACTCGTACTCGTGCTCGGTACGGTTCATGTTCTGGCCAAGCCAGTAGAGAGTTGCAGTAGAGACCTGAACATCGAGATCGTAGTCCCAGGGCATGATCTTACCATTCCACCACCAGCCGAGCAGGGTGCCGTGGGCGAGCCATGTCTCGATGTTGAGCTTCTTGGTGATGGTAAGGTAAGAGCGGATGAGGTTGCGCAGGACGACGCGGTGCTCGTCGTATGGAACAGCCTCGGTGAAGTAGCGGATGTCGTAGTGGCCCAGCTCCTCGCCGCAGCAGGGTTCGTGGAAGTACTTGGTGTCTGCGCGCTTAGCGACGACTGGCGGTGATGCCGCGTTGGGTGATTGTTGTGAGGGCGCCGCGGCGACTGTGGCAGTAAGGCCCAATAGGGCGATGGGGAGGGCGAAGCTGAAGCGCATTGTGGCGGCTGTGAAAATTTGTTGCTCTGGTGAGTAGTGAGGTTGCTGAGCAAATTGTCGACCTCGTGAACGGGTGATTAAGAAAAAGAGTTGCCAATCCAAGAAACAGGAAAGACCGTTTGTTGGATTTTTGGGTCTGTTCGAATTTTGGGTGGGAGGGTTCGCAGTGCCAAGAAGTCGTCGAGTGGATGGGAGACGATGGAGGTAGGAGGAAGGTCCAAAGCCAAGACGAGGAGGGCGGTTCCAAAGGCCACTGATAACCAAACTTGCCGAGGGGTATCACTGCGCAGTAATAACTGAAAAGCACGGGAGGTTGTTTGTAGTAGACGCGGTCTCGATGTTGCGGGTATCGTAAGGCCGGTGAGGTGAGGTGAGGTGAGGTGAGGCGATATAAGTTGTTGATGTGAGTGGGCGGTTCGGTGTAAGCGTCGACAGCGGGAGCGGAGGCGGTGACTGCCGTGGAATGGTAGGAAAGACGAGATGGAAATGGAGGAGGACCCTGATGTAGAGGATGTGCAGACGATGTCAAGTCCAGGCTTTTAGGAAACTGGGACGTTGAAGTAGGTGAATGCCAAGAAGTAGTAGAGGCAGAAGGAGGAACCGGAGTGGACATGTGTAAAGCGCGGGCAGGGCGAGGCAGAGACTGATATGTAAATGTGGGATGGGATGGCGAGGAGGAGTACATGGAGTAAGTGAGTGAGTGAGTGAGGCCAAGGCCAGTCCCCAACTCCACGTCCAGGGCAGTCTCCAGCTCCTCCCGACGTGGACGTGGACTCCCGTCCCAATGGGGGTGGAGAGGGATTCGCCGAGAGGTGTGTCTGCAGCGAGGGACGGGAGAGAGAGAGAGAGGCGTTTTCTGGGGAGGAGGCGTTGGGCTGTTGCACGTCGTGGGTGTTGCCGCATCATCCTGCCTTAGCGTCCACCGTTCCTTCCTTTGCCTCTGCTTCCCGAGGCCCGCCTTCTTACAGAGGTAACCTACGGATACCTTACCTATCCGTACGCAGTAGATGCATACCTTACGGATACCCAGTAGGTAGTTCTTGACTTGTTGCGACCCTGTTTGCCTTGCCAAGATCTGGGCCGTCTTTTTCTGATCCATTCTTTCCGAGGACTCGTTCCTTTTTTTCTCTGCATCTTGAACACCCAGGCAGTGAATGGCACGTTTTCCAATATTGGATTCTTCTCACACATACAAAGACACCTTCTCCAAAGAAACATTGTCTGCCAAACAAGATTAGACGGCCAGGACAAGACATCGGACTGAAC